ATGGCACACATTGTTCCTGCAAAAACAGAGTTGCTGTTTGGTTAGTCGCTTCTGTTCTCCCATTAGACCTGGTACTTAGAAAGATGAAAAAGAGAGCATTTCTGCTTTGTCCTGCAGGAGTACTGCATTGTTAACACTAACTTCCTTGATCCTTGTAGGGTCCTGCAGATTCTGCAAATTCCTCACGGCAGGATAACTGTACTTTCAGCAGCCTGCACGCCGCACTAGGCTCCTCTTTATCAGAAGCAGGCTGGTGCTCCGCTTGCGTGGATGTGTGGGAGCCCTTGATCTTTACGTGTACACAGGGTTCCACATACGTGTTTTTCTTTTAAATTTTTACTAAGTGACAGACTGTCTGAAAATGCGTATAACCATGCAAGTGTAACGTTTCCTCACAGTGATGTAGCTTTGAGGGTGTTCTTCACGTAGGTCTCTGTACAGAATTACAGTAAACGCAAATGTAAACATTACTTGGCCAGTATATTTGTCCGTACCAAAATCATATGAATGTTAAAATCTTAGAGCTTAATATTTCCCCAGCAACATCATACAACTATATTAAATGAATATGCTATTTTATGCATCTCTTTTTGTTAGATTTGTGGGTTATCAAACCAGAAAGTCTGGGTTTTTTGACTTTTATCAATTTTATGTTTTTCTGTCATTTAATAGTTACAAAGTGGCGAGCTAGTCCATAAGAGTTCAACGGTCCCATCCTTTTCTCTTCAGTGAAAACAATCAATTTCTTATCAACCTCAAATGAAATAATACTTGCTTTTTATACAGATATAAAACATAAAATATACAATCTTTTATCTTCAAACATATCTGCAATTTTATCTTCTGCTGTTTGCATTTAATAACATGTACTTGTTATTTTTGCGAGTAACAGTAACCAGATATAATAATAGCTTTCCATAAGTTCAGTAAATACTTCATTAAAAAATAGCTTTTCAAATAGGTGTTGGTAAGGTTTCCAATCCTATGTTAAATGCTCAAACAGCAACAATAAAATAAATCATACATTTATTTTTGTAGATTTATTTATCTCTGGTGAATAAAAGAAATTAATAATAAAAATTTACCATTATGCATACATTGATCGTGTAATGCCTGCACAAATTTTTAGACATGTAATTATTACAGTTGGTTATGTTTTAAAATAGCACTTCACATTTTAAATTCTAGCCTACAAATACAATTTCTATTAATTGTACTAAGTCAGAAGCGTATTCTCCATTCAGGTTTTGTGAAGTATCCTCATTCTAATAGCATTTTAGACTGCAGATTTCTTCATGGGCTATTTTCTGGCAGTGCACTGAAAATTGTGTGCTGTACATAGGACATTAGCAGTTTTAATGCTGAAAAATTCCAAAGTACCTCCAGAAGAATTCGTTTTCTTTCACTTTCTGTTGCGTGAATTCAGGTGTCCCTTCAGAGACAGTACCTTTGTGGGACGCGATGGCCATCTCCTGAGCCTCAGAAACAGATCACACCTTTGGACTTTCATGGCAATTCTGTGTTTGTTCCCGCATCAAACCCAGCAGAAGCTATTTTCATAAAGTTCTAGGCAAAGTTGTAAAGTTTTAGGGTGGTTGTTTTTTTTTTAATATATGCTCTTCTGGTTTGTGGGGATTGAAAATCAGTCGCAGGAGGGATGACAGTGGGTGAAATATTTGGTGGAGGTTTTTTTTATAATGAAGAAAGTCTTCATTTCTTTATCACACATTCCCCATAAGTTTTACTTCTGTCAAGAGTGATTCTTTTCGTTCCTTTCAAAACTTTGGTTCAAACAAACATCTAAATGAATGGTACATTTATGAGAAATGCATACATATAAGAGGCATCATCCTGCCATTCACCAGCTAGTGAAAGAATGAGGTTAACACTTAGCATCTCACCAAAAAGTGTAAATAGATGCTTTTATAACATTTTGTTTTTCTGTCCATCTGCTAATGAATATAATTAGAAAGGAAAATTGGTGCTGTCTGTTATCACAGGGACTGACACAACTGTAACCGTAACTACTGACTGATACATACACAGTGTGTGGAAACAGTCACTCTTGGGCTCTGACATTTTCCCAGGCTTGGTCTCTGTGGAGGAATTATTTATTTATTTGTACAAGCTGACGCGAGATGTGTATGGGTTCACAGGGCTAGGAGCAGCCCCGGGGTGCCGCGAAGGCTTTGATGTTGCAAAGGCAGCTGAGTCAACTCAAGGGGAAGAGCCAGGCTGTGCCCCGTCGTCCCACTGCCAAACCTGGTGTGGTTTCTCGGTACCACCGAGGTGGACTGTGTTCTTCCCCTGTCCTCCTCTCAACTGACCTGGTGATGCGCATAGTTGGAATTTTGAAGGCAGTTTAAGAAAATCCTCTCTATAACATGTCAGCATTTCACTTTCCCGGATTCCTGTAATATGTACTAAATGTGTAGAATAAAGCATGCTGCTTGTGAACATCAGCTGAGGCAAGCGCTTTTGGGTGCTTAAAATGTGCATTTCCTGATTAGCTGTGTACGCATTTGCTTCTAATATTACTTTACTCCAACAGTTCTCTCTATAGGAAGATATATCATATAAGTGAGTTCTCATTCCAGTGGCAGCAAATAAATCCTTTCAGGGAAAATGTTTGAGGAAGTGGGAATACAATCCGCTTTTTAGATCATATTCCCTAAAATATATGAAATAGCAGGATTGCAACAAGCTACATTTGGTGTCTTCTATCTAACAAAGGTGCTATTGCCTTTTTAAGATAACAGCTTCTCAATCCTAATAATTTTCATCTTTAAAATCTTAAGAGTTCCAGGTTGACCAAAACTGTAACTTCCGGTAGTTTCCTATTTGTGCAGGTTTTTAATTCATTAAAATGAATGATTGCAGTCCTAGTAACACCAAAATCACAACACTGCTCTGTACATCAGAGATTGCAAAGTGTTTCATGCCCTTGAGCTAGTCCCATTTGAAGACACTGACCATGGCCTCTAAGCCTCACAAGCCCCATCAGCAAGTGGCACTCTTCGCAAATTCCAAATCTGATATCATATAATAAAACCGTACAATGATTCCTTTTCTGTATTTCATGACATCAGGATGCCCAGCAGACAGATACTCATAGAAGAGCATTCTGCTCAGGTGGAGGTAGGCAATACTCTACTGAGTCCAAAACCAGATCTTCTGCACATGTGTAAAGTGTCAACTGCCAGTTTACGTACACGAGGGGCCATCAGATATATTCAATGAGTTTGGGTCCTCCAAAATCTGCAACATAACTCTGCTTTGAGACTGTGATCAACAAAATTATTTATGAGCTCTTTGACATCCATGAGACAGGATGAGGTGCTGTGTCATTCATAAACCTAAGTTCACAGAAGAATAGAAAATAAAGGCTATTTCTTGGATTGTGCTTGAGTCTTTTTGGCCTGCTTCATCCACAGCAGTCACTGTCTTAATGACTTGCTGAATTCAGAATGCAAAGGATCAACTTAATTTTACTTTCAAGAGAGCAGCCAAGGAATTAACAATCAGAGAAAGCTGAATTATTTATTGATGGAGGAGATCTCAAAATTAAGATTGGGATTGACTTCTCCAAGAACAGCAGAGGAGAGTGGCACAGAACCACTGAGCTATGCAGTCCCACTTTAGCGTGGGCTTCGTGCTTTCCAGGTGCTTCATCTAGTGAATTGATCGAAAGTGCTAAGGCAATTCAGTTTGACTTTTATCCAGGGGTCTGTGAACGTGCCATGAAACTGTTTGGCCTTATATACCCCTGTAAATCAGGTGAAGACTCTTACTTTGGCTGCACATCTGCCAAGGACACATATTATTGCATTAAATTCTTAAGTGCCTATGGGCTCACAGCAGGTCTGTGCCAAGATTGGAGGAAGGAATCCACTCAGAAGTAATTTCTTCCATTGTTCCAGTTACACCTCCTCGCTGACTGCAGCTTCACATTCAGCCGTCTCATATAAACCAGATACATGCAAAGTGACCGGGCCTCTTGTAATGTGCTCATCTTGATCATCTCTGTGAAAAATCCCAAGCATCGCAGAACCTGAAACATTATTTTTGTTCTCATCTTACTATTAAGTCCAGTCTCATTATAAATTTTCCAAACTTTGAGAAGAGATACAGAATCAGACACATTACAGACATTAATTTGTCAGGTCAATGGCAACCTCGCTGTAAGAAATAGAAGCTTGCTTTTTTATGTAATTTTAGTATGAAAACTTTATATTGCGTACACTCCTCGTATGCACTGCTTTTATGCATATTATAGCTAAAGGAGATGGCTCTAATTGCTGAACCACTGTCCTGCCTGGTAGATACAGAGAAGAAAATTTGCTTCGTGTAGATCAAGCAGGTTTTTACTATAATGCTCAGGTGTTACAGGCTGCACAGCACTCACAGAGGACTTCTGGTTTTGTTTTTGTGGAGACAAAAGAGTTTGCATTAAATGGTTTGCTCTGAGTTCTGGTACACTTGTGTCGCTTCATACATCTGAGACAAAATGCAGTTTGTATTTGTGGAGCACAGGAGGGGAAACGGGGTCCTAAAGTACTTTAAACTCTGAACTAGATATGTTTGTAACGCGCCCTGATACAAACTGATGAGCACCACATATTGTAAAGGCCTTCACGGTTTGTATTTGTGCTGCGAGACTATTTATAATATCCTTTAATATTTCTGTGTGATGGCCAATGTTATAAATGTAAGAATGCAAGATTATGGTGAAAAATAATACTGTCAAGTGCTTTAACAAGTTTTATAGGTAAACCGTCTAACCTACAACAAAATAGACTCTGGTTTGGGAACTGTATTGATCAAGTACAGAAAATTCTTTATATAGTTTACCCAAGGATTTCTGATACACCTGATAATCTAGAAGTTCATCCTCATATACTATAACTTTTTTTCTGAATTAAAGAAGACAAGGGCTAGTTTTACTTCAAGTGGAAATGCAAAACATGGACTAATTAATTTCCTTGTTTCCTCAAATATAGATCTGCAGACTTCAGCGTCACCTATCAAGAGGAAAATACCAGCAGAATCTCTTTTCGAACCAGCCTGTCATGTTTGTATCTCCTACCAGCCAGCCACCCCGCAAAAAGCTAATTGAACTTATACAGCTGTCAGGAGGGAAAATATGTAAAGCCTTACGTCAGGCAAAAATCTGTATCGGAAAAAACACAGGAAAGAAGTATCAGGAAATAAAATGTTTATCAGAAAAATGGATATTAGGTAAGACACTAAATTTCAACTCATATAAAATATTGTGGAACATGTATTCAGAAACTGACTGTAAGTCGTTCACTAAACTGAGATTATGGAGGGAAAAAAACGGAAGAGACTGCTAGAGTTATGTTTTCAAGAAAGCTGACTCCATGGTGAGGACTCTCTCTTACGACTAAGACTGCTTTATGGTGGTTCTGCTATTCACCATTGTCATCTTACCAAGAGCAAATTTCACCCAAAGATTTTCAAATTTAGCTTTTGTATGACTGTTTCATTTAGAGCAAACTAAATTATGGGGAAACCCCCACAGGATAATTGCTTTTTAAAATGGCGTGTATTTCAGTTTTAGATGTAATAAGATTTTTAACCAGTATAAACTGGCATAGCACTACCGAAATACAGTAATTGGCACCCTCTGATAATCTATCCTGAATTATATATTGTACATCTGAAAGACAATTGTCTGTAGTCTCTGTTTCACTTGCAAAAAGTTTGTTTTTAAAATCTGAAGTTAAGTTTCTAAGAGTTATTAGTCCATTACTTTTCCGTTATGGACACCACACTTCTCAAGATTATCTGTCTGCAGGGAATCAGGTGTAAAACTGCGATATCCTCAGCCTCAAAGAAAAGCTTTTGATAATCCATGTAGGATTCACAGCTTCCAGCCTGGCACTCTCTCTTCTCCAGACAAGATAAGGGTATTTTCCAAAAAGGGACCTTTTGCGTACTAGGAAAAAAAAGATTAAATTTCTGTCATACACTATGTCAGACTCCTCTAGATAGTGCCTCACTCAGACTCCAGCAATAAGTGTACTACATGAATTGATGTTATATGAGACTAGACAAGCAAGTCCCAGTCTCTTGACGCTTAATGCTATCTATCAATTCATAATGACTACAAACCCGAAAGAAAACACCACTAAAGAAGTAAGGAAAAGTGAGCCATAAGGGAAAAACACTCATCTAAATGCAAATGTTATGTGATATTTTCTTGAAGTATAAGATAAAATTGTGAAGATTTGAGAGAGAGGCACAAGAAGGCGTTATTGTTCTTGCAGTATTGTCATTTGACTGCTCTTTTTTTAGGGTCCTTCTGGGTCTGGGTTCTCAGCTCCACCAAAACTGTTTTATGCCAGAAATTGCTCTGAGGTAGATTGTTTTATAATCTGCTTCTTGTGCATTTTATCTTAAATAATCCTGCTTTTTTATTTCTTTTAGATTCAATCACTCAGCATACAATATGTCCCATGGAAAACTACATTTTTCAGCTGTGAGCTAACTCAAGAGCTTCCATATGGTTGTAAGGAAGCAAGTCTAGTTTGGATTCAACAAAAATCTGAGCTGCGAATAAAATGCCTAAGAAAGCGCCAGTTGCATTTTTATAAATACAGGAAAATGTTTTCTACATTTTTATTACTTGTGTAAGTGTTCATCTTGTGAAATCTTGTTTTTTTTCTAATAAAGTACTTCCCTAATAAAAGTTGTCTTGCTTTTATTTATTTGTTGAAGACCTTCGGACCTAAAAGTGAATGAATCATTATTCACTGGGAGGAGTGGAAAGATATTTTCCAATTTCTAAGTGAAGCTGATCATGGTACAGTGCAGTTAAAAGATCTATCTGCAGTGTGGGTGAGCGTGCCTGAGCTAGCTCTGGCGTAGTCAGAGCCGTGCTGCCGATGCAGACACACAGATTCTGTAGGCTCCTCTGTTCCGAGTGCCTCTGCGGACAGCTGAAGGCTCATGTTGCCACATCTTCATGACCATGGCTAATTAAGTTTCTGTGGTGAAAGGGTAAGATGTCCCATCGTACTCAGCTCACACCTGCTGGTGTACAGTTGCACTTCTAAATTAAGTTTTCAAAAGTAATTGAAACTCAGTAATTATGCGCAGATGCGTAGTTAAGGTATTACTTGATTTCAGTACCTTTAGTTGAATTTCAAACTCTGTCTACCTTACATCTAGGCTGAAACCAGAAACAGTTACTGATCCCCAGTCAAATGAATTAAGACAACACATCATTCGAGTGCTAAAACCTCTTGAAAACGGAACATACCATTAAATCCTTTAGGTATGCTTGAAAAATGTATGTAAATGTCTTAAACATTGAATTCCTCTTCTATCTGTGGTTTTGGTTTTAGTAGGTACAAAGTAAGATTTGTATGTAAAGTATGTTGTGTAACACTTGTTTACCTATAAATGTACAACCTCCTTTAAATATTTCCAAGGTCCGTCAAAATGATATGTCATCATCACAAAGAATAATGTATTATCAAGTAACTTAATGGCAGCTCACACCTTCCCAACTCAGTCCTTCCCTCAGAGTACTGTCAGTGTAAGGCAATGGAAACTACTAAAAATAATGATTTCAGTTTTAATATTATGAAACAATCAAGGTACAGTGGTTTATAAATGTTGCCATTCTAGTGTGTTGTTCTTACTTCTTGGGCTTTTTAAGGGATTCAGATGTACAATTTCTGTAAACTTGAGGATTATACAAATTTCTTCTTCAAAACAAGCTCGGCAGTATGTGGGTGGCAGGCTGTTTCAGGTACAAATTGCATTTGTATAGTTACTCTGTAAAATGTTAAACATACTTCTTCATGGAAGAGCTCCAAGTTATGATTATTCTATGGAAAATTAAACTGACTTTATTTTCAGAAATACTGAGCACCTGTAACTCAAAAAGGTTAAGAGCTCATTTTCAAGGATCTAAGTGCTATATAGTTTACTATATAAACTAGAAAATATAGTTTACTGAGGTCTTTTCCTTTATTGGTTTTCTGACAGGCACATTTTTAACAGCATCTTAAAATTGGTATGTTTGATACAAAAAATGCCAATCAGATCTGCCTACAAATTGTACTGTTTATAATGGAAACTATTTACTTATTTACTGCAGAGCACTGGTAACATGGTATTACCCTTCACCCTTGACCTTATGAGCCCCTTTATTAAGAAACTAGTTGCCAAGTACTACAGACGAAAATATAAATACTTAAATAAGTTGTGACATGTGAACATATGGTTCCCAGTAAATAACAGAATAATTTGTTTGAATTATATTGCTTAACTCCGAATATTATGACCTCCCAGTTTATTTTGTAGTTACTTCCTAAGTGTACTACCCATAAAAATCTGTCACTATTAATTTATATAATACAACATTCCAAATCAGTTTTCTCATAAATCTTCTTAAGATTAATCTCAGCTATTTAAATTGTAAATTCTTGGATCAGCTTGTTGGTCTTTATTAGTCAAACGTAACAGACTTGACAATGAAAAGTCTAATATACTTTTTCCTAAATTACAATGTTTCAGATAAAATAATCTGTCAGTTTAGATAATTTTGCCTTAAATTATGTGGTTATATTGATAGAAATCCCTATCTATCAGCTGCTCTTGCAAAATTTGTAGTACACAGGCAAATACAGCCAGCAGGAAATTAAATGCCTCATTTTGGTCTCACATGATGGGCGACAGGAGTGCTGTCCATCCATACGGACTGTTGCTTTGTCATAGCACCTAGCAAATCCAGGAGAGGTGAGAATTAAATCCAAACACTAGCATGTTGTACAGGCAGCAAAAAAAGAAATCCTGTTTCACGGTGATAGCCTGGAGTCTTTCACACAAACAGCTTCTGACCTACGCACCCTAGTGTGGGTCCTCAACCACCTCAGGGCTGGAAGGAAGGCACGTTTCTACCCGAGACCTCAACAGGCAAAGACACCAACTCTGGTCCTTCCCTCAGTAAACCAACATGGGAGGGGGAATGATGAAAACTCGTCAAATGATTCATTCGTCAGAAGAAATCCACCAACGGAAAAAAAACCACTCATACTTGATGCCAGGGTGCCAAGGATGGCAGCACTCAGAAGAAAAGGCACAAGACCCAGCGATGTGAAGCGTCATTGCTTGATTGATGGGCAGTTTTGAGTTGATCAGTGCTGAGGTCTTTGTGACATACAGTGCTGAACTCACCTGCTGTAGCACAGCACAGCCGCACCATCTCCTCTACAAAATGGTACCATGCTCACCTTGCCAGGAATCTACTTTTTTCTTTTTCAATTTCCTTTTTCTTCTCTCAGTCTTTTTTTTTTTTTTTTTGTGGAGGAGAGGTTGTCTTAACCTTACCTCTTTTATCCTGTATGAATATTTTTGCCATTCATTTGTGAGAACAACTTAGCTCAGCTAAGCTCAGAGATCTCCTGCGCCCCTGCTAAAGGCTGTCCCTAACAAAATCGCATGAGAACGATTAAAGACCTTTCTAAGTTATTTTATCTGATTAGCTGAAAAGCCAAAATAAGTATTATTATTCCTTCCTGAGACTCACTACAGGTCCTATTTTAACTCATTTCTCTTGCACTCATGGTATAGGCGATATCACTTGGATGCACAGACCACCAATATCGCTTCACAGAATCACAGAATCACAGAATAGTAGGGGTTGGAAGGGACCTCTGTGGGTCATCTAGTCCAACCCCCATGCCGAGGCAGGGTCACCTAGAGCAGACTGCACAGGACCTTGTCCAGGCGGGTCTTGAATATCTCCAGAGAAGGAGACTCCACAACCTCCCTGGGCAGCCTGTTCCAGTGCTCTGTCACCCTCAGAGGGAAGAAGTTCTTCCTCATGTTCAGACGGAACTTCCTGTGCCTCAGTTTGTGCCCATTGCCCCTTGTCCTGTCACTGGGCACCACTGAAAAGAGCTTGGCCCCATCCTCCTGACACCCACCCTTCAGATATTTGTAGGCATTTATAAGGTCCGCTTCCCTCTTTCCTCTTCCAGGGATAAGAAGAGATTTTACCACACTTTGCATAATTTACTGGGGACTCCCATTGGCAAATGCAGAAATACTGAGGACAAACATGACCTTGAAGAATGTGTTTGCTTAAGTTGTGTCAGAATGGCAGCAAAGTTGATGTCCTCTTCAAACAGCATATCCTTAAAAACAAATTATCTTCTAAAACAATTTCTTTACAGTTAGAGCAACTAATAATGTGAGATTGGCTAAGGATGTGTTTGAAAGCAAGACTGACAGAAACTCGTAAGGTGGGTGGATTATGCATCTCTTTTTTTCCTCTTTCTCTGCTTTTGTAATCAGGTTTGGATTACAACTGCATTTGGGGTGTGTATATCTAGTGAGTAAAAAGCCTCAAAATATTCACAGTGATCCTAGTATATGAGCCATCTGGTATTGACTTATTAAACTACAGATTTGTTGAGTTGGTTTTATGCTTCTGGATATTTTCCTCACTCAACTATAGGCACCTATATGGAGAGTGCTACTTTTTAAATATAATTAACTAGTAAGAACTATTGCATCACTCGATTCTCTGTTTATAGTTCCACTATAGTAAACTTCTGTTATCTTAATTGATCTGAAGAATGTAATTTAGAGATGACTGCATTATGTGGTAAAGTGTTATCAGCACATTCGGTGCTAGGAAGCTGCTAGAACAGACATGCAGTTTTTGGTGAAACCTATAATCAGCTTAGCGACTGTAAGGCAAAGGTGCTTTTCATTAATATTTCTGAGCTGTGTGGAACTGTGTTTCTAACACAGCATAGCATAACTAGAGCATAAAATAGAGGTATCCCAGGAACAATCTCTAGGAAGCTGATTAATTTTTTCCTCAAGAGCAACACAAAACTCTGGAAAAAAATGGAATATTTGCTCAGACTGAAAACTCGAAAGCATGAAAATGCCTGTGTCTTTGCCAGCAGTCCGACTTCTTTAACGACAGATCTAATAACAGAAGACCAAATGGCTGTAGTCCTGTTGCATGAAGTAGAGTTTTATTTCTGATCTCCTGTTGTTGCTGCATTTCAGAATGAGCTCTTTGCATGATATGACTAAATGGAGGCTCTGGAAAAACATCACCCTTCCTCCAGCATCGTGCAGCAGCTGACAATAAGATGGTTTAAAACTGCCAGCAGTAAATAAATAACAGCTGGCGTTGAGGTTATCAGCACAGGTGTCTGCGAAGAGTTTTCGCTGGGAGCTGGAAAGCAGAGTTTTTCTTCTGCCGGTACAGATGTGAAACAACCCTGCGAGCACCCAGGAGCAGCTCAAGCTCCTGCGGAGGGCTGCGGTGCTGGCAGGTGTAGCACAGGGCTGCAAGCTGCTTCGAACGGCCGGAGCCGGCATCCTTCCCAGGGTGACTTCAGCCCGCCCAGCCTGCCGACGGGTCCACACCTCCATCACCCCGGAACCCCGAGGTCACACCAGATGAACCTTCCTACGACTTCTTCCATGCCAGCTCGTGTTGTTTGCC